ATTCCGTTACTATATATCATGACCACATTACTAATTACCTTATCACATCTTTATCTTTACAGTCAAACTGTGTAAAAGACCACTAAACCAATACTTTTGAATAATTGATCCTTAATACCAGCCCTTGAGAGTTAGCATTCAATTTTATAGCTCAAACCCTAGACTGTTAAAGCTTTGAGTTGACTTTGACGCATCACCATCTGTTTATCACTAGTATGACTTAAAATACTTTCATCTTCTAATACTTAAGCCACAATGATTATAAACCAGACATTACCGATACAAGTATTCACTCAATTCAAGTGCTAATTGTTCCCTACCAGCTAAGCACCATGACTTGTGTACAACCAATCTCCACATCATGTCTTCATAATAATATCCAACTTCTTTAATAACAACTACAATTCCAAGGCTGCCAATTTCACAATTTTTAATGAATAATCATTTAATCCAATGTACTGTCTCTCAGAAGTAGAGTTTAACATTATTTTCTTATTCTTGAATTCCGGTAGAACATAAACTATGATACCTAGAGTTTATTGAAATAAAATCTAAAATTTATAAAACAATAAAAATTGAAAATTTCAAATCACACTATTTTTAAGAAATAAGTCCTGCTGTACAGTCTAGAAAGCCAGTTATTACTTGTGCCATGCTCTCAGAACCTCAAACCTTCTCAATCTTGAAATAATGCTTGATATGTGACTAAGTCGATCATGTGATCCGTCACGTGATCTGTCACATGATAGAATATTACATTATCGAATAACTCCATAATCTGCTACTAGAGATTAAATATAAATACCTATAGTAACATCATAATCCTCCAGAGTATCTACTTGCTAATTTATATAAGATTCGGGCTTGATTTGAAGAATTTGATTTTTCACTATATTGACCAACTTTAATTACCAATATCTTAAGCAAATAAAGAGTTCTATGAAAAATGATTATAACCACATTAATCAGTGTGCTTGAAAGATGCTATTCACTTAGTTTCAAATCAATACAAGCTCAAAATAAAATTTCATTTCCTTAGTTGAACAAAAATTTTGGGCCCCCATAGTAAACAAATATACATATAGTCCAAGAATTCGAATTGATATCGACCTCAAAGTTTCTATTCTAACTACAACCGGGGCTTCCCCAGTAGATGCAAAAGAAAGTACTAAATTCAAATCACTTTTCAGAATTCTATTTATCATTTTCTATATTTCAACCATTATAAGTAATTTAAAATATTTCCAGAACCACAAGTACTTTAATCAAAGTTAGAGTTTGTATTATATAAGTGAGAGTATATAATCTAATTACACTTTGTTTCATGAATTAACTGTGTTTGAGACAAAATTTATCCCTTGATAAAATTCCGACATTTTTGACAAATTCAAACAACGACCATAATGTTTTTAAAACTAAAGGAATTAATGAAACACTTATATCTATGAGATTCTACATGCTCACTTGTCTGATAAATGTAGTTAGTCTTTCATCAGACATTCAAAAATATTATAAATGTTGAAAGTTTTGTACCTAGTATAAACGTACCTGCTACAACCATTAATTATCCAACAAATACCATAACCCTTAGAAACAGAATCTCTTGTATATTTTTAACCAGCGACACATCCTCCATGTATAGCAGCTTATGAAGCTATAAAATGCATATATATATATATATATATCCCTGTTTGTGAAATCCAAAAATGATTAGGACCTTATACCTAGTTGAAACGATTGAACAACCAAATAACA